CTTCGGATTGCTCTAGCGCAGGATTCCAAAAGCCTGATCCTCCTTATGGAGCTGCTGGCCTCCACGATAGTCTCCTACACCGTCAGAACGATCCGGCTACTCGCCCTGCTCGTTCATATCATGTTGCCGTTGTTGGTAGCGCTCCTGGGAATTGTCTTGTCTGTGCTCGTGAGGAGCATCCGCGACCTCTGGAGTCTCAACACGAGCGCAAGGTGCGTCACATGGAGATACTGCTCGCGTGGTACCCTACGGACCTCGAGATGCGCGCGATGACTTGCGGCTGAGTCTTCAAGGAGATGCGGCTGCTGATGCACAGGATCATCTTCGTGTTCCCGAGCCCGCTCGCGGTCTCTTCTGCACCAAGGTTTTTGGAGGAGGGACATCGTGTTGCCACGTGGCCTGCGTGTCGTCTTGCCCAGCTGCGCCAGGAGGGAGCCGTGCTCGTTCTCTCATGTATGCAGGCTGTCACGCGCAAGGCTCCGTCGGCAGATTTCGCGCGACTGGCCACGAAATGCCCGTCGTCCCCATCGGCCTGCCGCCTGCCCTCGTCACTGCGGGCTGATGGCTGCAACGTCATGGAGATCTGCGATATGTTGGGCAAGGCTGACCGCGATGCCCTGGCCTCTGCTTCTGGTTTTTCGGGTGTCGGCGGGGTTCGACTGCCAGGCGATACTCATCACGATGCTGGGGTTCAAACTCCCAGTCTCCCCGCTATGGGTGCTGCGTGGAAGATTCGGATGTGGCCCTGTGGATGCCTGCGGGCGGTGGCCCGGTCCGTCCACCTTTTCTTAGTCGGTCCTCACCTTCTGCAGGTCTGGGGGGAGATTCGGCCGCCGCCTCTTCGTCAACATGCTGCACCTGGTGCTCCCAACCTGGAGCTCCGTGCCATGCCGTTCGGTGCAGATGGAGGCGACGATGCTGTGGCAACAGCTGCGCCCTCCACCACTTCGGCGCCTCCGTCGCCACCTCCGCCGACGGCTGTCTGCTGTTTTGCAACGACTTCTGCAGGTCTGGGGGGAGCTTCGGCCGCCGCCTCTTCATCAACATGCTGCACCTGGTGCTCCCATCCCAGGCGCTCCCATGCGCTCCCAGGCGCTCCCAAGCGCTCCCACGCGATCCCAGACGCTCCCAGGCGCTCTCAGGCGCTCCCAGGCGCTCCCCGGCGCTGCCTAGCGCTCCCAGGCGCTCCCAGGCGCTCCCAGGCGCTCCCAGGCGCTCCCAGGCGCTCCCAAGCGCTCCCAAGCGCTCCCAGACGCGCCGAAGCGCTCCCAGGCGAGCTCCGTGCCATGCCGCTCGGTGCAGATGGAGCGCGGAGCGCTCCGCGCCGCGGCGGCCAATCGAAGCGAGCCGCCTCCGCGGAGGATGCGGCCGCCGGCGAAGCCAACGCGCGCGCGAGGAGGAGGAGGAGGAGGAGGAGGAGGAGGAGGAGGAGGAGGAGGCGACGATGCTGTGGCAGCATCTGCGCCCTCCACCACTGCGGCGGCACCGTCGCCACCTCCGCCGATGGCGGTCTCCTGTTGTTTCAACGACCCCTGTGGAGGCAACCCCGAGGCCGACAGGCCGCCGAGAGGTGGGTCCGGCGGCTCCTTCCTCCTCCTCCCTCCTCCTCTCCTCCTCCTCTCTCTCCTCTCCTCCTCCTCCTCCTCATCCTCCTCCTCCTCCTCCTCCTCCTTCTCCTCCCTCTCTCTCCTCCTCCTCCTCCTCCTCCTCCTCCTCCTCCTCCTCCTCCTCCTCCTGGAGACTGAGGGTATCGTGGACGGGTTCGTCGGTGCCTACGAGCTGCGCCTCGCCAGCCCGGACCAGCTCGAGAGCATGGGCTTCGATCATGCTGTTGTTTGCTGGGCTGCCGCTTGTCATCGACGGTGAACACGGCAAGGCCTTCCTGGACCAATTCGAGGCCTTCGACTTCAATTTCGCATGCTTCGACAACGCCCGCTTCTCTGACCACGTCCCTGTGGACCACGCCCTCGCCGGCAGCCGCAACTTCTTGCACGGCCACGTCGACTGCTCCGTCGCTGCTTGCGCCGTTGAGCCCGTCCTGAGAGGCCTCGTGGCGGGCGCGCGAGCGGAAGAGGCGCGTGCTAAGGGGGGAGTTCTTGCCATTGGACGCTGGCTCCTCCGACTCCTCCTCCTCCTCCTCCTCCTCCTTCAATGCAGTATCATGGAATGCTTCAACTCGCAACTGCTCAAGACAGTACACTGCGAATCGCCAGCGACTCGCTGCAATCCCTGCCCGGCGATGCACTCTCTTTGGACATCAAGCTCAAGTCGGCGCCTTGACGTCAGACTGGTCAGACCCGCACCTCTCGTCTCCTCCCCTCTCCTCCCCCTTTCTCCTCCTCCTCCTCCTCATCCTCCTCATCCTCCCCCTCCTCCTCCTCCTCCTCCTCCTCCTCCCTCTCCTCCTCCTCTCCTCCTCCTCCTCCTCCTCCTCCTCCTCCTCCTCCTCCTCCTCCTCCTCCTCCTCCTCTCGTGGGCCTCAATATCAGGATCGGCGGCCTGCTGCCGTCGTTCGGAATGGCGCCCTCGCTCCAGCGCGGGCCACACGTATGGATCCGAGTGCTTCGTCGTCGTCGTCGCCCCCTTCCTCTTCCTCCCCGGCCTTCCCCGGGTCCTCCTGCTCTCCCCGCTCCTCCTGCTTCTGGTGCTGCTGTTCCTCCTCGTCGTCCTCCTCCTTCCTTATCCTGCTCCCACTTCTCCTCTTCCCCTCCTCCTCCCCCTCCTCCTCCTCCTCCTTTTCTTCCTCCTCCTCCTCCTCGTCCTCCAAAGCACGCAGCTCCCATCGGGGGGGCCAGGTCCTCCCCCAATGTACGCGCCTCCTGCACCTCCTCCTCCTCCTCCTTCTCCTCCATCCCTTGTCTTTAGAAATAAATATTCTCTGTCGCCTCCCCAGACGTGTCAGTAGGACGGGCTGGTCGTTTCACATGAAACTTGCTCACCACTCACGATCCTGACGCGTGGAGTTTACAACAGGTTCACGGATTCAGGGCTGGTCGTTTACAAAACGTGGTTTTCGTTTTTAGCGCCGCGCGTAGTCCTCGTAAAAGTTTGCAGCAATTTCAAGTATGGATGTGGTGTTCAAAATGTGGCTCTCGCTTCAGCGCCGCGCGCATTCGGATTTCGCTTCAAGGATGGAGGGCAGCTCCTTTTCAAAATGTGGGTCTCGCCTCAGCGCCGCTCGCATTCGTCTCAACAGTTTGCAGCAGTTTAAATGTTCGTCGGGTCGACGCCCCAGGAGTGGCGTTCTGGCCGATTTGGGATTGACAGGACACAACGGTCACGTTGATTCGCGGTGTTGAAGTCCTCAAACAGGTGTTCTGGCGCGATTAGGATTGTCAGGTCGCAGCAGAGATTGATTCGTGGCGTTGAAGTCCCAAATTGCGTTTGGACGCAATTGGCAATTGGGGATTCTCAGATGGTTGGCTTCCAACTTGACATTTTCCGCAACGAATGATTCTCGTATTCTCGCAAGGACTTATGAAAGGGGGAACTTGGAGGGAGGGGTTATTACAACATCGTTGACACGTCTTGGGTTTACACTGGTCCTCCTCCTCCTCCTCCTCGTCGTCGTCGTCCTCCTCCTCCTCCTCCAATGTGCGTATAACGTGATGGGATCCTTTTGGGGGTTCCCGTCGGCGGATGGAGAGCAATCGGCACAACCAGCCAGGATGGGTGGGAGGAGGTCCGATCTGGCGCGAGCGCACCCAGCTCGCCCTCCCCCCCTCCTTCCCCTCTCTCCCTCTCTCCCTCCTCCCCTGATCCACCTCCCCCCCCTCCCTCCCCTTTCTCCCCCCCCTCTCCCCCTCCCTCTCTCCCTCTCTCCCTCTCTCCTCCCTCCCCCCCCTCCCTCCCCTTTCTCCCTCCCTCCCTCCTCCCCTCTGTCCACCTCCCCCCCCCTCCCCTCCGGAGGCCGCCGAGGACGGCGCGCCCGGAGGTGGCGGTGCGGTGGCGCCGGCGCTGGCGTGGAATTCGGGGGCGACCAGGGGCCGCCGTGCAGCGCCAGACTGCACCCGACACCCCACCAGCAGGGGGGGGGGGGGGGGCGACAGGCGATGGGGGCTCTCCGAGGGCGCCCTCGAGGGCGCGAAGGTGCTCGCGCTTCGCGCTTCGAGGTTCGGCTCCTCCTCCTCCTCCTCCTCCTCCTCCTCCTCCTCCTCCTCCTCCTCCTCCCCCGTAGCCATTTTGGCGTAAGCCATTTATGCTCAAGTAATCCATATGTCGAGTCAGCCGGACGGGTCAGCATCTCGGGGGTTCTGTCAGTGCGGCCCGCGACACAAGTGCTGGACAGACCCCCACTCTGTGAACTCCTGTCTGGAGCATCCATACTCACCAGTTTTTGGAGCGCCGCTCCGCTTCCATATCAGCATCCCTTCCCGCGCTCCACCACGATTGTTTTCTTCTGTTGCATGGACTCTGACGATTTTGGCTCTGGCGATTGCGGCCCTGGCAGACGTGAATCGAACAGCCGCAGTGGAGGAGAGCGTACTCCCCGCCGCCGTGCGCGTCGGGCAGGCACCAGCGGAGGCGCGGACATTGCACCTGAGAGGACCGCAGTGCTCGTCGTCGACCTCCACGCGAAGAGCCCCCACGAGAACTTCGCCGTGAACGCCCCAGGCTCGACCCAGGCACCCTGGCGGCGCCCCCGCAGGGGGCCGCCCAGCTGGACTCCAGCGCCCAGCCTGATGCCCTTCAAGTTCGCGATCCCTGGGCTGCTTCGGGTCAGCCCTTCCTCACCAGCCAGGACGTCGCCGCCAGGGAAGCCATGCCCACCTTCGCCAGCCAGGCCAGCGCTGCAGGCGCCGCGGGCACTCCCGTCGGAGGTACCGCCACCCCTGGCGGGCCTGCTGCCGCCCCCTCTGCTGCGAGTGACGGCCTGGCTGTGCTTGCTAACGGCCTGGGCGTTGAGTCCGCGGGGAGCGACTTCCAGCAACACCTTCTTCGACTCGTTCAGCAACGCATGGATTCCACTGTCGCCGACATGGACAAGCTCTGCAAGTCCTCGATGGCTGCCACCCAGACGGCCCTCGTGCAGGAGATGGCACACTTCATCGACCCGATCACTAAGAGCCTGGCTGCGCAATCTAACGACGTCTACCAGATCAAGTGTCGGTAATGGAGCGCGACAGTGCCAGGCTGCGGGAGCAGGTCAACGAGATCCGCTCGAGCCTCGCCCTTGCCGAGCGCCAGCTCGGCGCCGCCGACCTCGCCAAGCTCGCCGAGTACGACCGAGAGGCAGACCCGCTCCTCTTCACTGCCAACTGCCAGAGCATGGTCTCGGGCCCCGCTGTCCGAGCTGCCCTCGAGGACTGGATTGTCGCCGCGAAGGTCCGCTCGGAGTTCATCGAAGTGGTTGGCGGTGCTGTCCCTGCCAAGCGCTTCTTCGTCCACGTCAAGGGCGACAGTGGCGCAGGTGCCCCTCGCGCCATGGCTCTGGCCCGTGCCTTGCGGCTTCCTGGTGGTGGATGGCGTGCCTTCGCTGTGGAGACCCCAGACGGTCGGCGCGCCACCCTCCACGTGGGCGCTGACAGAGCCCCGCGTCAGATCCGCCGCGAGATGCACACTGAGCGCCTCCTCAACATCCCCACCCAGGACGGGAGCCACCCTGCTGACAAGCCGGTGGACTGGACCGCCATTAGACCCAAGGGCATCATCAGCGCCAACGCCGTGGCGATCATTGAGGTCGTCCTTCAGGGCTTCCACGAGTCGTCCAAGATCTACCGGCATCCTGGCTCTTCACAATTCATCAGCGACCGCGACCGCCGCACCATTGTCGAGCACTTCAACCAGGCCACAGCTGCTGCCGCCGAGGTGGACACGTCCAGCTGGTCGTGCCCCTAGCCCTCGCTAGCTGCCTTGGGCACCCGCCCCTGCCCGCGGCTCTGACTCGCTCGCCAGCAGGGGGCTCTGCGTTGCTTCCTGGAACGCCAGCGGCCTCCTGCGCCACCGCGCACACAAGCGCAAGGCCAAGTTGGCGCGCCTTGCCCAGCTGATGAAGCTCCGCAATCTCATCGTCGTCCAGGAATCTCACGGCTCGGAGATCAAGCTCAGGACCCTGATCGACCAGCTGCCGTGCCACTACCGCACCTTCTTCTCGGCGGGCGCGAACCCTGGCACAGGCGGGCTGGCCTTCCTGGTTCCGTGGTTCTCCGAGGCTGAGCTGCGCCCCCTGGACCGGTCCCTGATCCCCTCGGCCGCGATGAGGACGCTGGTGCCTGGGCGGGTTGCCGAGCTCACCCTCTCCAGTGCGCGCACAAACGAGCACATCCGCATCCTCAATATCCACAACCATGACGCCCCGCAGGCCTCCTTTGCCTCCATCAAGCGCGGCTGGATGGACGGGGCCCGCTGGGCGCAAGATGGCGAACGCCACCGTATCTTCATAGCCATCGGCGACTTCAACATCGTTGACCTGGAGCCGCTGTCCCTGGAGAGGCCCTCCGTCGCCTACTGCAGCGCGACCAATCGCGAGACCGCTACCCTGACTCCAAGTGCTACCACGCGGCATGGTGGCAGCGACAGTTCCTCTTCCTCATTTTCATCAGACTCAGGGCGGAGTCGTGCTCGACGGGCGGGCAACAGCCGCCCCGTCTGGCATCGTGGCAACCAGGGCCAAGGCTTCTGGAGAGCGCTCTTTCAGCAAGCGCTTGCTGAAGTCACATGCGAGCTGCCCGCGCACTTCTCCAAGCAGTGCCAGACCTGCTCCTTCATTGATCGCGCCTTCGTCTCCCTGAAGTCGCACTCCATTTCGAACACGGCGATCTCGTTCGAGATCTGGCAGGAGTCCGCGACGCTGGCGGACTGGGGCCTCAGTGACCGCGCCATCATCCAGCTGAAGGTTTGGGCTCGATCGCCATCCGAGCCCACCGAACAGTCCATCCCGCCAAACATCTTCAGCTCCCCCCGATACGTGCAGCACGTGAAGTCCCTGCTGGACGTTGCCGACTTGGACTCCCTGGAGGTGGCTTCCCGCTGGGCCCTTGTCGAGGAGATCATGACCGAGGCGGCGCGCCTGAACAGGAACGAGATCCAGGCCCTCCCGATCGGCGACTACAGCGAGGATGCCGAGGACGGCAGGCGGCTCTCCATGCGTGCCATTGCACAAGCCGTCTGGCGTCAAGATGCGCACATCGCGCGGCGTCGCCTGATGCGATCGACGGCGCTAGGCGAGAAGCGCCTGTCCGTCAACCCCGCTGAAGTGGTCACCCTCGTCGCCGCTGAGGACTTCGAGAGGGGCTGTCGCTTGCTGCAAGCGGCCTGGCACGAGCGCCAGCGCGCCGCTGCCGCTGCGCGGCTCCGCGAGGAGGCGCGCCTCAGGCCTGGTGCCGAGGGGCCCGACAAGTGGCAGCCGCTGAAGCTCCAGCGGGCAGCGTAGCGCAGGGCCATGCTCTGGGCGCCCTTTCGTCGGCGCCTGGTCCTTGCTGGAGCCCGCCTGGAGAGCACTGGCCACAGTGCATCCATCGAGCGTGACCCCGTCTGCGTGTTCGACGCCCTGCGCTCATACTGGACGCCCCACTTCACGGACCAGCCCGTGGACATGGGCGCGATCGACCGCCACCTGGACACGCACCTCCCCTCCTTCGAGGCGCCCCTGCTGCACGCGCCCTCCGTCGATGCTCTCCGTGCGGCCCTTCGGCGTGCGAGGCCGTCTGCGCCTGGCCCTGGCTGCCTGATGGCCATAGCCTGGATGGCGGGCGAGCGGCTCTCTGACGTCCTCCACTCCCTGATGCTGCGCCTCTTCGCGGGCGGGGGCGCTCCCCTGGGCTTCAACTACGCGGACGTGGCCTTCATTCCCAAGGGCTCGGAGGCGTCCGGCTCCTTCGACGTGGTCAGGGCGCCTGGTCGCCTCCGCCCGCTCAGCCTGAAGAACGCCGACGCGAAGGCAGTGGCGGCGGCGACGAACATCCAGCTTGGTCACCTGACGGCCCTCCGCGCGCACCCTGCGCAGCAAGGCTTTATTTAATCGCTTCGCTCATGCCGCCGGCCCTGGAGCCCTCTTTAGGGCCTCTTGGGGGCCTCTTGGGGACCTCTTGGGAGTCTCTTGGGGCTCCTTGGCGGCGTTTTGGAGGCCCCCAGGGCCTCTTGGGGGGCTCTTGGGGGTAGTCGATTGCGGCTCCCCCCTCGGAGGCCACGATCCTCGTGAGGGGTGTCGAAAAATACCCTCCCCTGGAGTGGTCTGGTGGCTTCTCCCGGGCTTCTCTCGGGACCTTGCCGGGGTACTTTTCGTCCGGGGGCCCCCAGGGGCCGCTCCGCGCGCGCGAACTAGAAATAGTGTTAACAAGTTACCGGAGATCTTAGCACGCCTCTGGCCCGTTGCACCCTGCGCAGCAAGGCTTTATTCGTGGCCGCAACTTCCTAGGCCACATGGTCCGCCAGGATGCGATCGCTCGAAAGGGGGGCACCACCCTGATGACTTTCCTGTCTTCGTCTCCATCGACCTCCGTGCCGCTTCCCCCTCCCTCTCCCAGGCGTTTATCCACCGAGTGCTCGAGCGACATCGCATCCCGACGGGTTTTCTGAATGTGACTTCTGCTCTTTACTCTGGGGCTCTCGCCCACGCCCGAAGCGGCTCCGCCGGGCTCCCGCCCTTCATGGTCTCCTCAGGGGTCGCCCAAGGATGCCCCCTCTCAGGCGCCATATGGGCTCTGTGCATGGACCCCTTCTTACGCCATTTAGAGGCCCAGATAACCTGCCCGACAGCTCGCGATATGCACCCTCGCCCTTTCAGTTGGTGCCCAGGGCTCTTCCCTGAATGTGGAGCGACGGCGGACGATTTGGGACTCGCCCTTCCCTCGATTTCGCTCCTCCCCGCTCTCGCCCCCCCCTTCGACGCCGCCCGCACTCTTGCGAACCTGCCCCTCCAGCCCGAAAAGTGTTGCGTCGTCCCCCTGGCGGAGTCTTGTGCGCCAGCCGTGGAGACGAAATTCCAGAGCATGATAGCCGATCTAGTCCCTCAATGGTCAGAATTTCACGTGCGTGGACACACAACCTTCCTCGGCATCGAGTTTGGCCCTGGAGCGTCTTTAGAACAACAATGGGCCGCCCCGTCTCAAGAATGGCGCGCCCGCGCGATCGAGACAGCTCTCTCCCGCTCTCCAGCGGAAGCCAGCTGCAGGCTCTATAATTTCTGCATCCTCCCTGTCCTTAGCTATGTCTGCCAGCTCTTCCCTCTCCCCCCGTCCCTCCTCCGGTCTGAGCGTCACGCCCTTCACCGTCTCCTCCGTCTCCCTCCCAATTCGTTCGGCCTCAGTGAACTCCTTAGTATCGGCTCCTGGCTCCCATCTGCAGTCCCACGATCTGCCCGCGTGCTCGCTGCCGCATCTGCGTGGCGAGCGGCCTCTCTCACTCTTCCCCGTGACGGACCTCGGGGATGGGCGGGACCTTTGGCGACACTTCGTGCGCATGGACAGATGCGCGGAACTCTCAGTGCTGTAGCGACAAAGAGCGTCTCGCCACAATGCTGGATTCGAGCATGCTCTATTGCTGAATTCCCCGAGACATCCATGTCGGCGACGGCCCCACCACCGAGCGTGGATTCTGCGGCCTGGCGCGCTGCAACGACGGCAGCCGACGCCGAGATCATGGCCGCGACGCAGGACGCCCGCCGCCCTCGCCCTCAGCGCATCCTTTCCCGTCTCCTCGCCTCGTCTCTTTTCCCCGATGCCCTCCCCTCCCTTCTCCATCGGCGTCTTTCCGTCTGGCTCCCGAGGGGTGACCTTCCAGCAGCCCCCGAGCTGCACAAGCGCTGGGAGGCCCTCCGTGCTGTCCTAGCCCGCACCCCACCATCCTGGGCGTGGGCCCACCTTAAGACCCTGGCGGGGGCCTGGACGACCTCCGCCCGTCTTCCCAGTGCTCCTGCATGTTCCTGTCTCTTCGGCTGCTCCGACCCAGATGAATTCCCCCACTACCTCGTGTGTCCTCGTCTTCTGCACCTCCTCGCTCTTCCTCGCGGGTTTCTCCCCGTCTCGCCCCTCGCTCGTCTGGGTCTCGGAGCTGAGCCCGATTTGGAGACAGAATATCCACGTCAGCGATGCCACCATGTTATAGTCCTCAGCTTTCACATCTATCACAAACTGAAAGCTGACCTTTCCCTGCGCCGTCGGCCCCCGACGCCGCTATACCACTACGAAATCCGAGCCGCCGCACTCGCTGCCATGCGCATCTAGCTCCTCCTCCTCCTCCTCCTCCTCTTCTCTCCTCCTCCTCCTCCTCCTCCTCCTCCTCCTCCTCCTCCTCCTCCTCCCCCTCCTCCTCCTCCTCCTCCTCCTCCTCCTCCTCCTCCTCCTCCTCCTCCTCCTCCTCCCATTGGAGGCGGCGCGAGAGCGCGAAGTGATTCGCACTTTGCGCTTCGCGCAGCGCGGGGCGCGAAGTTGGGCGCCGTTGGGCTATCCCTCCTCCTGATCCTCCGAAGCCTCCGCCCCCTCTTCACCTCCCCGCCATCGCCGCCGCGGCCCAGGCTGAAGTCGGGCCCGCCCCCCTAGAGGAAAAATATCTAAAAATAGTCCAGAAAGAGTCCGGGGACTATTTTTTGGGCATGTTTGACCATTTGGGAGAATCTTTGGGGTATTTTTTAATTTGATCGTTTCGCTCATTCCGCCGGCCCTGGAGCGCTATTTGGGGCCTGTTGGGGCCGTCTTGGGGGTTTCTTGGGTTGTTTGTCGACCATTATGGAGAATATTGGGGATTTTTTTTTTCGTCCAACATCCCCCTGTAGGGGGGCACGCCCGACTGAAGCCCAGGCGATCCTGTTCGGGTTCAGCGGCTTCGCGGGCACGGCCTGCGGGGGAGCCAGCCGCGGCCTCGGGCGCCTGCCTTCCGCCTTTTCTCGCGGCACGGGGGGGCAGACGGCGGCGGCCGCGGCGAGGGGGAGCCTCCCTCCTCCGCCTCCTCCTCCGCAGCCTCCGCCTCCGCCTCCGCCTCCGCCTCCGCCCCCTCCTCCTCCTCCTCCTCCTCCTCCTCCTCCTCCTCCTCCTCCTCCTCCTCCTCCTCGTCCTCCTCCTCCTCCTCCTCCTCCTCCTCTCTCCTCCTCCTCCTCCTCCCTCCTCCTCCTCCTCCTCTCCTCCTCCTCCTCCTCCTCCTCCTCCTCCTCCTCCCTCCGCCTCGGCGTCCTGCTCCTCCCGCCCCCCCCCGACCCTGCTCCCGCTGCGCCCGCCTCGGCCCCGCCCCCCACCAGCTCGCGCGTGGACGGTCCGGGCGCGCCCCCCCCCCCCCCCCCCCGCACTCCCCCCACCCCACCCCGCACGGGTGTGGGTTCCCCGCGCTCCCCCTGCACGGCTTCGGCGCGCTCCACAGCCAGGGGGGCCCTGGACGCGCCCTGTCCGCCCCTCTCGCCCTTTGTCGGGCTCCCCCGACCAGCCGTGTAGGCCGCGATTCCCCTGTCGCTCGGCAATTCGCATTACTCCCAACCATCCTGTGGTGTTGGGTCCTTCTTTGGAAGGGGCACCGCCCCGCGCCCACGCACCTCACGCACTCCTCCTCGCCTCTCTCCCTCCTCCCATTCCGGCCTCTGCTCGCCGCATGACCAGTTCGGCATACCCCCCACACGCTTCGTGGCCCCATAGGAAGCTCCACCGAAGGCACCAGCATAACGGTCCGCATGCGACCCCCCGCCCATTTCAGCGCACCCCTCGCGAGGATCGTGGCCCCATAGGGAGCTCCACCGAAGGCCCCAGTGGCAGGTTTGCATGCGTCCCCCGCCCATTTCGGCGCACCCCTCACGAAGATCGTGGCCCCATAGGGAGCTCCACCAAAGGCCCCACTGGCAGTGCTCGCAGGCATCACCCCGCCCATTTCGGCACACTCCTCACGAGGATCGTGGCCCCATAGTGAGCTCCACTGAAGGCCCCAGTGGCATGGTCCACATGCGTCCCCACGCCCGTTTCGGCACACCCGTGACGAGGGTCGTGGCCCCATAGGGAGCCCCACCGAAAGCGGTGCCCACAACGCGGTACTCACATGTGCATATGCTTGAGCCCTTCGCCGGGAAAATTTACCCCTGCTGGTCGTGGTTTTGACAGGGGCTCCCTGGAATGTGGTTCCCCCGGGTGGTCTGCGGGGTCAGCGCCACGGCCGCACGGATCCGCGTGAGAAGGGCCCGCGCGTCATTGCGCCTGCTGGGATATGCTAAACGGCTCCGGTAGGCAACTGCACTTATTCACGGCCTCTCGAGCAGCTTCATTTTGTTCATACAGTGCCCCTTGGGGCCGCAGGGTTCTTCGCACAACGCCCGTGCCCCTCCCACTGCTCCCGCTTCATCCCGCTTCCTCTCTTTCCTTCTGTGCCGCCTGGTCTTTCAACGCACGCCAGCCCCATGATTCTGTCACATCAGGCATAGAATTCTTCCAGGACGGCTTGTGTCCGTGGTGGTATGAGTGGTGTGCGTGGGGGAGACATCCAACAAGTTCACGGCCTCTTGAGCATCGCCAGCACTAGTTGTGCAGAACGAGAGATTTTCTTCTTGAGGCGCCAGCGGCGATCAGCGGTTGGCGAGAGATCGTCGGCGCCGCCACACGCACGGCGCATGGACAAGCTGCTTGCAGCAGCTGGGGGGCGCGGAGAGATGCATTCATGTTGGGTGCGTTCTGCGTGCGGTGAGGGTAGACGGGGTCCGTGAGACAGCGCGGGACCTGTCTATGGCAGTTCGTAACCCGGCCCCCCCCCCGTAAAATCTTAACAACGGTGGGCCTGGGTGCCGCGGATCCGGTTTCTCCGTGTCCCCTGATTTCGTTTGCAGTGTCTTCGCTTCGCCTTGAAATCTTGACGTGGTGCATTCGGTGCGCGGCGTGCGATGTCGGGTTTTGAGTGTGCGGGCTCCGGGCGGCGGCGATGTGCAAGCCGGGGGTCGGGAAGGTTGCGGGCGAAGGAGAGCGGGGCACCTCGTGGCGCGCGCGCGCCAGGGGGCGCGCGCGCGAGGGGCCCAGGAAGAGGGGAGCATGCGACGGCGGTCGCAACAGGGGAGGGCCTGGCAGTGATGACAGGTAGGGGGCCACATGCGAACCCTACCCCTGCCCCCCACGATTTCTGAGGGGGAGGGTGGGGTTCACCTCGTTCGGGAGCTCCCGAGCGAAGTGAACCCCACCCTCCCCCTCAGAAATCGTGGGGGGTAGGGGTACTCCGGATTCCATGATAAAGCAGGGGGGGGGTACATTGGCGGGGGGATCTGATTTGATCTGTCTTGAAGGGTCAGGGGGGGTCTGGGCAAAGTGCCGCCCTTTCCTGGATGGTCTGGGGGGGTCTAAAACTTATGGTCTGGGAGGATTGTGACCCCCTCCCTTTTATTACGAAATCTGGAGTAGGCTCTGTCGGCCCGCCCTTCGGGCCCGCCCTTCGGGCCCTTCTGGTCCGTGTTTCTTTGTCGGCCCGCCCTTCGGCCGGAATAAGAGCGCCGCCAGCTGGATTGGCATTCTGCTCAACTGTTAGCCTCAATTCGGGCCACACATCCCAAAGGCACTGTGTGGCGGCATCCTTGTTTTGATATTACCCCCTTGGCAGCTGGAGTAGGGTTCGCACGTGGCCCCCCAACAGGCTGGCCCTGGGAGGGCGCTGGTCGGAGGGCGGGGGCGGTGTGCTGGCGAGGCGGGGCCGGGAAGGGCACGGGCGGCCTCGAGTTGCAGAGGCCCTGTGGAAGGTCTCCGGGGCCCCCCTCCTCGTCCTCCTCCTCCTCCACCTCCTCCTCCACCTCCTCCTCCTCCTCCTGCTCCTCCTGCTCCTCCTGCTCCTGCTCCTCCTCCCCCTCCTCCTCCTCCTCCCCCTCCCCCTCCTCCCCCTCCTTCTCATTTCCCTCCTCCTCCTCCTCCTCCTCCTCCTCCTCCTCCTCCTCCTGCACACTTCTGCTATATGCGCGTCGCCCCCCATCAGGGGCGACGCGCGCACCGAGAAATCCTGCAGCACATGCGTCTCGGCGGGCGCTTTCTGGCCACGCCGCTCGGGAAACGATGTGCTGCAAGATGGGTATACTGTATAGGTTCGGGTCGGACGCGCGCCTCCAAGGAGGCCAAGCTCTCTTCCCCCCTTCCTGAGGGGGGGGGCCGACTTACACGCCGGTCGTTGAAAGTAGGTATTTTTGGATTCCCAGATTGCAATCTACTTGAAGCGCCTTCCTACTTCAAGAATCGACACGCTTTTGCTGTGTTTTGTTATTCCCTGGGGGGGCCTGTACCCAATCGACTTAATCCGCCTTCCTACTTCATGTTTTTACCTACTTCTTCCGACCGACGTGTACTCTTGCCACATCGAAGAGGAACACGCTGTGGACCACTAGTCCAAAAGGACCGGCCAGATGGCAGCCCTTGGCGGCAGTCCGATTTCCAGAAGAGGTCTCGCAGAGCGTGTTTTTGGAGAAACCGCGAAAGCGAACCACTGCAGGGAATTACCTCTGCACGGTCCAGGGGCTCAGTTGACTGCGGGGGAGCGAGAGCCAAAATGAGAGAGAGAGAGAGGCAAAGAGAGACAAAGAGGGACAAGTAGAGACACGCAAGGGAAGCGAAACGAGTCTCGGGGCAACAACGAGTAAACGCACACCGCCCCGGGTCATCGCCACAAGCTGGCCGCGAGCGGGCAAGGCAGAGACACAGACACAGGCAGGCAGAGATAGTCGGCGCAGTGTCCCTGTAAGGGGGCCCCCGAGCCAGCCCGGGAAAAAGCCGCCGCAGCCCGCAAAAGCAGGATCGCACGGCTCGTCTGCGGCGGCAGGGGTTGAGGAGGCCAAGGTATTTGGGGTACAGTTGGGGCACTGAAGAAGGAACCCTTGGCGTTGGGGAGGGGCTCCGTGTTCCTTTATGGTTTCGCAGTTTGCCTTGGGGTTCCCTTTGGTTTTTTTTAATGGGACATCGAAGCTTAACTTATGGAAGACAAGGGGCCTTGTTCCTAATTTAGGGTTCCTTAGGTCAACGCCTCGACTGTAGAGTTGGGGCTAGGGTTTGGGGAGGCAGGGTCGGAAAAGCCACGGGCGCCTTCGAACTGCTAAGATCGTGGAAAGGTCTCTGGGTGAGAGCTGGGCGAATGGCTGGGGAGGCAGGGTCGGGAAAGTCACGGGCAGCGTCAAACCGCAGACGGGCCAGAATGAGTGCACGGGCGAAGGTGGATGGGGTCGGAGGCAGGTGGAGTGTTTGGCGGGCTCTCTTGGTGTGAGCCTGGGGCCGAGGTTCTGCTGGTATGCGTGAGCAGGAGATAAGGAGGTCGGGTGTGACGCACTGGTGTGGGAGCGCGGGTCGGTTAGGTGGTGTCTGCGCGGGAGACCGTATTGGATGCTTCACGGCTCCTGAGCTTTGGGGGCTCTCCCGAGCGTCTGGGCCGCCTGAGAGCGCATCGAGCTCGGCAAGGGCAGAACGGTGCTTTTTGTTCCGAAGATGCGACAGGAATCAACGACCGTGTGCTCGCAGGGCCTCGTCGGGGGCCGTCTCGGAGCGCCCGGGGGACTTCTCGGCGCCTCCAGAAGCATCCAGTGGTCTCTCGGAGCCTCTTGGGGGCTCATAGGGGGCCCTGGCGAGGTCATGTTTGGGAGCCCCGTGGGGGTCGCACGAGGGCATTCCGAAGCGCCTTGGGGCTTCTGGGGGGGGGGGGGGGGCTTTCTGGGAGCCGTGTCGGGGGTCTCTTGTGGGTATCTAGGGGGCCCCTTGGGAGCTCCTCGGGCGCCCCCTTGGGTGCCGCTCGAGGGCCACCCCGGGCCCCCAGCAGCCCCTCGGGAGGGCGAAAGGCGTCCGAGGGAAGCCACACTCGAGAGGTGCTGGCTCCGCGTCCTCCGGCTCTCTGCCTCCGCCCCATTTGTCGACGGCGGCGAGCCAGTTGTAGAGCGCGCGCGTGGTCGCAGTCCTCCCCCCGCCTCTCCCCGTGCTTCCCTCGTCCTGCCGCTGCTCCTCGGCACGAGCGCGCGGCGCTGCGCGGGATGCTGCGCGCTCCCCCCCCAGCTCCTGGCGCCTCGTCGACCTCCTCGGTACTCGCTCGAGCCTGCACACCTCCCCCCCCCAGCAGCGCTTTCAGCTCATTTTCTTCAGCTTCAGAGGAGATGAGGAGGAGGAGGAGGAGGAGGAGGAGGAGGAGGAGGAGGAGGAGGAGGAGCAGGAGGAGCAGGAGGAGGAGGAGGAGGAGGAGGAGGAGGAGGAGGAGGAGGAGAAGGAGGAAGAGAACGACGACGAGGAGGAGCCCGGAGGCCTGCCGAGGCCACCCTGCCAGGACGCCCGCCGCTCTCTCAAGACCCGGCCCTTGCCCAGGACCAGCTCGATGCAGAAGTTCCCCTGGCGGACCTGGGCCAGGCCCGCCTGCAGGCCACGTTCTTTTCCTTGGCATCGCTCGGACGTGTGCATTTTTTTCTCGGCGAGGACCTTCGAGGAGCATCCTCGACCATCTGGCGAAAAAACCACGCACGGAACCGAAAAAAACACAGGAGATGGACGTCCGAGCGATGGCCAGTTTCCGTGTTTTGGAAGAGCTACAGCAGCACGGAATTCTGGCGCTCTTGGCGCACACTCAGCGAGGGCACGACCCCCACGACACAGTGCCTCTGCAGCAGTGGCAAGACTCGAAGCGGGCGGCCGACGACGAGCTGTCCCCGTCCGCTCAGGACCAGCGGCCTGGAAGGGCACAGCGAGCGCTCTCCTCGTCCCTCCACGCTTCCCTCTACCCCGACAGGTTCGCTGAAACTCGGGCCCGCCGCTTGCATGCAACGTTGCCCGTGTTAGGGACCCCAGAAGATTGATCCGCACGCTGGGCAGAGCTTCTCAGCCATCTGGAATGCAAGGCACCAGCGATCCGCTGGGCCGTCTGTAGAACCCTTGCCAGGGCGTGGTGGACTAGCCACCGCTTCCCATTCAGCCCGCGCAGGACCTGCCTGCTCGGGTGCGAGGGCTGCTCAGACCGTGTTGGCCATTGCCTCACCTGCCCTCGCTGCTCTACTTCCTCGCAGTGTCTCGGGCCCTTCTTTCCTCCGGCCCTCTCGCTCGCATCTGAGCAGCATACCAACCCAGAGCACTCCATTGCAAAAGCCGTCTGGCGCGCTGCCCTTTCGCTTCACCCCCATAACACATTGAATGGCATCACGTTCGCCACGCTTGGCGCCGCGCTTCTGAACAGGATGGGCACGGGGTGCCTGGCCACCACCGCGCCATGCATCCAGGGCCTAGACGCCATCTGGACTGAAGGAAGGTGCGGTCGTTCCTCTTCCTCCTCCTCCTCCTCCTCCTCCTCCTCCTCCTCCTCCTCCTCCTCCTCCTCCTCCTCCTCCTCCTCCTCCTCCTCCTCCTCCTCCTCCTCCTCCTCTCCTCCTCCTCCTCCTCCTCCCCTCCTCCTCCTCCTCCTCCTCCCTCCTCCTCCTCTCCTCCTCCTCCTTCCCCCTCCTCCTCCTCCTTCTTCCCCCTCCTTCCCCCTCCTCCTTCCCCCTCCCCCTCTCCCTCCTTCCTCTGGTCGGGCCGCCGGGTGAGGCCTTCACCGCCGGAGCTCCGCGGGGGCCTCGCTGGCGCTGTGGGCCAAGGCCCAGCGCCTCGCGGTCGCCCGCACGGCCGAGGGCTGAGAAGGGGCCCGTCTCGGGCAGGTGCCGTCGCAGTCCCTGGGCGCGGACAAGGAGGGGGGAGGAGGAGGAGGAGGGCCAGGAGGAGGAGGAGGCGGGGGAGGAGGAGGAGGAGGAGGAGGAGGAGGAGGAGGAGGAGGAGGAAGAGGAGGAGATATAATGAGACAAGGTAGGAGGAGGAAGAAGAGGAAGAGGAGGAGGGGGAGGAGGAGGAGGAGAAGGAGGAGGAGGAGGAGAAGGAGGAGGATATATGATGAGAAGGGGTAGGAGGAGGATGATGATGCTGATGAGGAGGAGGAGGAGGAGGAGGAGGGAGAGGAGGAAGGGGAGGACGATGACGACGACGACGATGACGGAGGACGGGGCGGGGGCGGAAGAAGGGATAAAGATATGTGTACGTATATATCGATGTGTATACGCCGCAGTTGCGGATAAGAGTGAGGGGGCGGCGGGGTCGTCGGCAGTCTGCGAGACTTTGGCGAAGCCCGCCGCAGGCGCCGATTGTGAACACATTGCGCATCGAGCGCGGATGGGTCGCGGGCGAGTTGCGGCGACGTCAACAACAGCAGCAATAACAACAATATTCATGCTAAGACTGTTCGCTCTTAACTTGCCCGTGTGTCATTCAAAACGAGTTCCCCACACCCTCGATACCCGCCCATTGTGTCTTCGATCGCACACCCTTGGGGGGGGATTTTTTCTCTTTGCGGGGGGCGGTGGGCTTAGACAGGCGGGCAAACCTGAACGGGCGGACAATGCTTCGTGGGCGTACCTGTACCCGCCATTGGAATTGGTGTGGGCCCTGCAAAAAGAGGAGAGGGATAACGAGAGAGACTGGGAGGAAAGGGGGGGAGGGACGAAGGAAGAGGGAAAACGCCAGGAGAGAAGGAGCGAAGAGGGGGGCGGTTGATTAGAGGCAGAAAGAGAGAGAGAGAGAGAGAGAGAGAGAGAGAGAGAAAGAGAGAGAGAGAGAGAGAAAGAGAGAAAGAGATAAAGACAGATAAGAGAGGTGGAGAAATAGAGAGAGAGAGAGAGCGGGGTGAGAGAAAGAGAGAGAGAGAGAATAATAACGAGGGAGGGAGCTGGCAGGAGAGGGGAGGGAGAAGGGAGGAGGGAGAGGAGATAGAGGGGATAGGGCAGAGAGGCATAAGGATGAGGGAAGGGAGAAGGGAGAAAGAAGGGAGGAGAGGAGGGAGGAGGGAGGAGGGAAAGGGAGGAGGAGCAGGAAGGTAAGAGCGTGAACGTTCGAGGGAGTCCTAGGCGAAAACGCCGTTCCTGAAGGAAGTCTCGGGCGGGAGCCCATGACGGGCGGACGATCCCCTGACGGGCGTGTCGGGCGGGTGGGACATTCAAGCGGGATGCCTCAGTATGGCGAAAGCGCGATTCCTAAGTAAATTGTGACGGCGTCCATGGCGCAGCGTGCGTCGACAGTGCGATTTCTGAACAAATTACATGGAAATCGCAGGCGAGAGCGCAATTCCTGAATCAAATGTGAGGGGTTCTCTGGCGGGAACGGGGGTCCTGATTCAATTACGAGGAAGTCATGATTCAATTGCGAAGCAGTCTCCAACGGGAGCGCCGTTCCTGAGTAAATGGTGAGGAAGTCTCAGATGGGAGCGGGGGTCCTGGAGTAAATTGCGAGGAGGTCACAGGCGGGAGCACCGATCCTGAGTAGATTGTGAGGAAGTCTCAGGCGGGAGCGGGGTTCCTGAGTAAATTTGGAGGAAGTCTCAAGCGGGAACCGTTGTTGTTGTAATCCGGGGGGGGCACTGGCACAGTTTGAGCACCAAAACTTTCTTTGTCAAAAAACAGGGTGCGAGCGTCGCGGGGCACATTTTGATTAAGAGCAAACAGTATGCACCGGTGAGGGGGGATCAGCAATTATTATTTTCAGAAGTGGGAGTTCAACAACAACAACACCACCAACAACAACAACAGCAACAACAACAACAACAACAGCAACACCAACAGCAGCAACAACAACAACAATATCAATTTCAAGACTGTTCGCTCTTATTGGCACGCGTGTTTTGCATCCTGCACACCGCAACCCTCGATACCCGCCAATTTCGTCATCGATCGCACACCCTTTCGGGGGGAACTTCCTCCCTGTCGGCCACTGACAGAAGTGCGAGGAACTCTCGAGCGAGAGCGCCGTTCCTGACTTCGGGGGCCCCTTTGGCCAGACCAAGGGATCTCGGAATACATATTGAGAAATATCGAACGGGAGCCCTTGTCGCCGTGTCTGGGCCTCCACCAACTCGCCTGAATTAAGAGTAAATCTCGAACGAGAGCGCCACTTTTGAATTCAGTTCGGGGGCCTCTGGCAAGGGCCTCTGCGAATACATCTTGAGGAAGTATGACACGATAGCCCTTGTCGTCGTAGTTGGGCCTCCACCAATTTGATTGAATCACGAGGAAGTCTCGAGCGAGAGCGCCGTTCCTGAGTTCGGGGGCCTTGCTGGCCGCGGGCTCTCGGAGTAAATCTTTCGGGGTAAGCTGTGAGGAAGTATCGAACGGGAGCCGTTGTCGTCGTAACCGGGCCTCCAAGGGCCCACTTTTACATTCAAGCCAACGCTCGCGCGGGAGGCTCGTTTTCAAAGAAAATGTAGCCGGCATCTAGGCGAAAGCGCGCGAAGCCGTTTCCGGATACCAGCAACAATTATTCTCTAGAAATGAATCTTCAACAACAACAGCAACAACAAACCACAACCACAACCACAACCACAGTTACAGCAACAGCAACAACAAAAACAACACCGATCATTGTACTACTGTTCGTTCTTGTCTGCCCGCGTGCCGTTCAACACGAATACCCCGAACCCTCGATGCCCGCCCTCTTCGTCTGCGATCGTACCCCTTTTGGGGTACATCTTCCTTACCTGCCACGTGAATTTAGCGCAGCCCATGGGGGAAGAGAGGACGGACGGAAGGGGGGAGGGAGAAGGATAGAGCACGAGAGAGATTGAAAGGAGGGAAGGGGAGTTAGGAACAGAAAACACGTGGCAGAACCAGATGAGCAAATCAGGCGGGTGGAGCCAAACGGGCGGGTCGGGAAGGCGGGCCCAGGCGGCCAGGTCGAGCAGGCGGGTAGCTGACGCGTGAGTCTTGCATGGGTCGCGAGGAAGTCTCCAGCGATAGCGTGATTGACAAGTGAATCGTGAGACAGGCAGGGCGAGAGCGTGACTCCGGAGTGTCGAGGGCGCGGCGGCTGAAAGAGCTGCTGTGGACGTCCCACGCGAGCGCGATGCCTGCATACATTGTGAGGACGTCCCGCGCGAGAGGGCGATTCTGACATACACTGTGAGGAGGTATCCGGCGGGAGCCGTTGTGGCTGCAGGTCGGGGGCCGGGGGCCCAATTGGAGCCCCACGGCGCACCCTGGTAAAAAAACAGGGGTGCGAGCCCTGGGAGGAGCACTTTACTTGAACATTTGAATGCTCACCAGAGGGGGGAGGAACAATTAGTGATGCTTCATACGTGAGAACTCAACAACGGCGGCGACGACGACAATCATTGTAAGACTGTTCGCTCTTATCTGCTCGAGTGTCCGTGAACGCGTATTGCCCAAACCCTCGATGCCCGCCTTCTTCGTTTTCGATCGTACCCTTTTTTGGGGGGTATACATTTCTTCCCTGCAGGCCGGGCCTTGGCGAGCGGCGGGGCGGCCGCGGATTGTCGGCTTGGCCAGCGGCAGCGCTGATCGGCGGCAACCCGACCCCAAGAGGGACGGACAGGGGACAGACCACGACGACGGCGACGACGACAAGCGAAAACGAGAGCAGGAGAGACGAAGTATGCCACGAAGGGCGACAGCGGGGACACGAAGGGAATGCATATGGGGCCACGAAGAGCGCGAACGAACGGGGGCCACGAAGGGCAGATAATGCGGGGCCACAGAAGGCAACGACGGGGCCACTGAGGGTAGCAACTGGGCCACGTAGGACAGCGAGGAGGCCACAAAGGGCGACAGCGGGGCCACGAAGGGCATGCGTATATTGGGCCGCGGAGGGCAAGGACGGGGCCACTGAGGGAAACAACGGGGCTACGAAGGGCATCGAGGGGGCCGCGAAGGGCGACAGCGGGGCCACGAAGGGCATGCGCATGAAGCCACGACGGGCGCGAACAAGCGGGGGCCACGAAGGGCATGCGTATATTGGGCCGCAGAAGGCAAGGACGGAGCCACTGAGTGCAGCAACGGGGCCACGAAGGGGCAGCGAGGGGGCCGCGAAGGGCGACGGCGGGGCCACAAAGCGCACGTGCACATAGGGCCACGACGGGCGCGAACGAGCGGGGGCCACGAAGGGCATACATATATGGGGCCACGAAGGGCAGCGAGGGGGCCGCGAAGGGCGACAACGGAGCCACGAAGGGCAACGAGGGGGCCACGAGGGGCTGCAACGGGGCCACGAAGGGCAGCGAGAGTGCCGCGAAGGGCTGCAACGAAGCCACGAAGGGCAGCGAGGGGGCCACGAAGGGCTGCAACGGGGCCACGAAGGGGCGAGGGGGCCACGAAGGTTTGCAACGGGGCCACGAAGGGCAGCGAGGGGGCCACGAAGGTTTGCAACGGGTCCACGAAGAGCAGCGAGGAGGCGACCAAGGGCTGCAACGGGGCCACGAAGGGCAGCGAGATCCCGATTCCTAAGTAAGCTGCGAGGGAGTCCTTAGCGTGAGCGCGACTCCTGGGTGCCTGACTGTCGGGAGTGCCGCGCTTGAGTAAATTGCGTGGAATTTCCAATGCAAGGGCGCTATTCTTCAGCAACCTGCTGCAAGCAAGTCTCCAGCGAGAGCGCGATTCCAGAGCGCCGAGAGAGCGATTCCTGAATACCGTGTAAGGAGGTCCCAAGCGAGAGCGCGATTCCTGTGTAAAATGCGAGGAAGTCTCGGGCGGGAGCGGGGGTCCTGGCTAAATTGTGAGGAAGTCAAAGGCGGGAGCCGTGGTTGCTGGAACCCGGGGGCCAACAACGCAATTTGAGCAGGAGGATTTCCCCTGATAGAAAACAG